ACCGACATTCGCATAATGGGGATGCTAGAAAAAGAAGACAGAGAACAAGTAATTGAAAACCTATTTTAAAAAATAATGATGAGATACTTCCCTAACCTGGTGAAGGAAACAGACACAGAAGTCCAGGAAGCACAGAGAGTCCCAAACAAGATGAACCCAAAGAGGCTCACACCAAGACATGTCATAATTAAAATGCCAAATGTTAAAGACAAAGAGAGAATTTAAAAAAACAGCAAGAGAAAAGCAGTTAGTTACCTTCAAGGGAGCTCCCATAAGACTATAAGTTGATTTCTCAAAAGAAACTTTGTAGGCCAGAAGTGAGTGGCAAGAAATATTCAAAGTGAGGAAAAGCAAAGACCTACAACCAAGATTACACTATCCATCAAAGTTATCACTTAGAATCCAAGGACAGAAAAAGAACTCCTCAGACAAGAAAAAGCTACAGTAGTTTATCACTACCAAACTAGTATTCCAAGAAATGTTAAAGGGTCTTCTTTAAGAAGAAGAATAAAAGATTAAAAGTATGAATAATAAAATGTCAATAAATACATACTTATCAACAATCACTTCAAATGCAAATGGACTAAATGTTCCAGGTAAAAGACATATGGTGGATGAATGGTTATCGAAACAAGACTCATAATTTTAAAAAATTAGGATAGTTTAAGAAGTCCTTAGGACAACTTTAAGCATACCGACATTCGCATAATGGGGATGCTAGAAAAAGAAGACAGAGAACAACTAATTGTCAGAGAACATAAAATGTCTAGAAGAGACTCACTTCAGATCAAAAGACTCACAGGCTAAAAGTAAAGGGATAGAAAAGATATTTCATGAAAATGGAAACAAACAAACAAAAAGCTAGAGTAAATACTTATAACAGACAAACAAGACTTTAAAACAAAGGACTCAGCAATTCCACTTCTGTTTATTTATCTGAAGAAACTCAAAACACTAAATCAAAAAGACATATACACCCATATGTTTATTACAGGATTATTTACAATAGCCAAGATATGGAAGCAACATAAATGTCCATCAATAAAGGAAAGGATAATGAAGAAGTGGTGTATATATTCAATGCAACATGGCTCAGCCATAAAAAAGAAAAAAAGTAGAATGAAATCTTGCCATCTGCAACAATATGGATGTACCTAGAGGGTATTGTGCTGAGTAAAATAAGTCAGAGAGAGAAAGAAAAATGCCATGTGATTTCACTTACGTGTAGAATCTAAAAAACAAAACAAATGAGCAAGCAGACCAGAAACAGACTCTCAGATACAGAGAACATTTTTATGGTTGGCAGATGGGAGGAATATGAAGGAATTAAGAAGTACTAATTGGTGATTACAGAATAGTCACTAGGGTATAAAGTACAGCATAGGAAATATAGTCAACAATATTGTAATAACTATGTATGGTGTCAGATGAGTACTAAGTTTATCAGAGTGATTACTTCATAAGTTATATAAAACTCTCTTTTTCTGTACCGAAGGCCGACGCTCCAACCGCTGAGCCAAACCAGCCAGGGCTGTTATATAAAACTCTAATCACTGGGTTGTACACCTAAACCTAATAAAATATTGTGTGTCAACTGTAATTGAAAAATAAAAAATATTAAAAATAAATACAATATCAGTGCACTAATTACAGGCAAAGTATTATTATAATACTTGAGGACTGAACAGAGTCTAGACAGCATGATGAAAAGTGACCTTCCACTGATGCCAACATAATCAGAGCTTTGAACATGCAGCATTACTCTTGTGTGTGTAAGAAAATCACCCATTTCTGAATAGAACTGCTCACTTGCTCCCTCTCACCTTTAAAAAAGAGTGTCAAGTTGCCAGCTGCCACCCTACTTCCAGGCCTACCATGATCTTCAGTTCTTCAGAATATGAGAAATGTGGAGGCTTAGATGAAATAAAGGTTTCAGTATCAGCAAGAAGAGGGAAAATACCTACCTTCTATACAGAATGCTCCTTGGCACCACTTCTGCTTGGGATGTCCTGAGTTTTCAGTGCTGGGGCTCCTTTAGGAGACTTGGTAGTCTCCTTCACCCCATAATAAGTGACTCAGGGGAAGGCAGCACACTGGGACCTGGATGGGCTCCAGGATTGCAAAGTCCCTATACAATTTCCTGTCCACTATACATTGCTTTATTTTCCTTCTCAGTCTCCATATGGATTTCCAAGTTTTCCTGGGATTTTCCCAGGGAATGTCCTAGGTCTCCTCTATTTTGATTCAATATCTTAATAGCATTGAAATCCCAAATAAGGTGTCTCCACTGCCTAGTTATTAGAGCTCCCTGGCAGGCCTCTTAGAAAGACAAATTAAAAATCCATTGGAAGCTTAAATAAACCACTTGCACTGCATTCCAACTGATAAAGCACACCCCCTTTGTTGTTCCACAGTAATTGAACTTACTGTGCAGGTGTCTTCCTACCCTTGCAAACTCAGATTGCTTTTCCCTCTCATAAAGTATCCACATAATTGACTCAATATCCATCTGTTTTTCTTAAGGCTGGGACAAAGTTCAGGATCTTTATTAAGATATTTCATAAAAATAAGAAAATTAATTTAACCAGATGCAGAATTCTCCTTCCTCCCCAGATTATTAATATAGTTGACTCTCCCAGTCTAGTATTGAAAAATCCAAGTCCCAAGGGGTCATGGTCAAGCAGTGTCAAAATAGGGGCCAGGGAATCAGCTCACTCTGCTCACTCCTCAGTCTTAGGGAAGTTCAGGCCATGTCCACAGAGAATTCCCAGAGCCCTGGGAATTGGGGCTATGGGGCCACCACATCTCAGAAGTACAGTGTACTGAAATATAACAATGCCTGAAATAACAGTTTGCCAGCTTTCTTAATAGGATTTGGGGGGTGGGACAGAGGAAACTACAGTGTCTTACATCACTAGAAGGCAGTTCCTTTTCGCCTTCAAATTTTTGTTTACTTGAATTAAAAAAAAATCTCTCCTTGTCACAAGTAAAAGGATTTAAACCCTCGGGGAACTGGCGCCAGCAGCCAGATGTGGACTAACTACTATACTACACCAAGGCATAGCTGGGCTTTTGGTGTTGCACCTTTTGGGGGCTCATGGTTGCCGGGAGAGGATATCAGAGTTGGTTCTTGAGCTGTGTTTAAAGATAAATCCTGGCTAAGTCCAGCCTTGAGAGCGCACAATCCTTGGTTCCCAGACAACATGGAGCAGTGAGATAATGAATATGAAAAAGCTCCAGGCAGGAGATTCTTATTCCTGTAGATTCCCTTCTCAGGGGGGAAGCTCAAGATAGGTGTGTCTGTGGGGTTGGAGTGGGGGATGGGATTAATCTTCAAACAAGGGACACATTCCTATTTGGGTTTTTAAGCTAGAGAAAGTGCGTACAATTTAGTTTTCTGCCGGATCTGTTTTTGTTTGTTTGTTTGTTTGTTTTGTTTTCTGTTAAGGGTCCCTGAAAATTGAAGTCCCCACCCCCAACTCCTACTTCCTGTTTCCGCCCCTCTCTGGGTGGGGCAGCAGGGCAGCTATGTCCAGATGGTGGCGCTCGGAGACTAGCAACCCCCCTCTTTCCTACTGCGACAAGAAGAGTAGTCTAGGAATACTTTCAAGGTGTTTGCTGAAATTTTCTGCGAAGTTTCTCGACAAAAGCCATAACTTCTACTAGCGGGCAGAAATCCACTCCAGTGACCAAGGTTGTTGAGTGAGCAAGTATGAGAGTCTAGCCTGTTTAACCGGAACCATTTGGATTTCCCCAGGCACACCCTGGGAACCGTGACGCCTAGGGAGAGAGATCCGAAGGTCTAGGGGACAGCCTGACCCAGAAGAGGATGAAATGAGACTCCTGGCAGAAGATGACAAGGGAGAATGACCAAAGTAATTTGTGCCTGGGTCCGGGGTGCTGATCTCCTGGTGGCTTCTTAGCTGCACCTCCCGGCACCTCCGCTCCTGTCTCACCACTGAGGTAGCGCTTTAAGAGCTTTCCCGAATGCCGAGTGCCACCTGCGGAGCACCCGGGGAGTGGACCTGAGCCAGAGCTACTCACTCCGGGCTTCTTTTGAGGGGCAGCGGCCCAAGATAAAGGCTTGCTTGGCGTTTTTCTTTTTTCCAAAGCAGCCAAGGTCACTGTCAGCTGTGAAGAGGATGAACTCCCGCTCTCACCGGCCCCAAAGTTGTGCTGGAGTGGCCACCTCCCCTCCTTGCAGAGTACAAGTTCTATCCCTGCTCCCAGGGGATATCTCCTCGTGGAGAGCACAAGTCTGGGACAGGCCTGAGTGGCCACCAGCCATTGCTATAAAGGGAGCCAATCTGCTCCTGACAGGCGCAGGAGAAGGGCTAAGTTCCTTACAAATGGGACCTAGATTTGGGATGGAAGCATCCAGCAGCTGTCCCCTGCTCTTCCTGGGAGTACAGAAGGTTCTGAACAGGTCAGAGTGCTACAAGTAAGATGAACCTCTTAAGGAGACAATAGGGACACATATGTAGGGTTCAAAAGACCACTGACCCCCTCTCACACTCTGCTGGGGGCTTAGACTGGCTTGGATTGACACTGGACCCAAGAAGGCTTCTCTATGCCATTTACATCAATTTGCAGTATTTGTGATAGAAGCGGAGGAAGAAGAATTTGATAGAAATGGATTTGCAATGGATAGAGTGTGTGTGTGGGAGGGAGGTGGGCCCTGAACTTGTCAGGATGACGTGTACCTAGGGGAAGGTTGGGGCGGGGCTAGCGACTAGAGCGGAAGCACAAACAAGGCAGTCGGAAGCAAGAAGGCACCTCGATGTGGATTTGTCCAAGAAGAGTTGGTGACTAAAAACAGGGGTGGTCAAACAGGTCTGATTGAAGTGGGGGGGGGGTGGTTATCTGCCTCTTGAGGCTTTAAAAGCTAATCCGAGAGTGGGCAGGATGCTGTCATTTGTTCTCTGATTCTCAGAGCAGGAAACAGCTTTCCCAAAGTTGTCTGGAGTGGCTAGGAGACCGTAAAGGTCTCAGGCAGCAATATGGTGCCTACCCTGGCAGTCCCCACTCCATACGGCTGTATTGGTTGTAAGCTGCTATAGTCAGACTACCCACCAGCTCTAATCACCTTTATGTTCTGTGCAATGGTTATTACCATCGTCATAGACCTCACAGGCAACTCTATGGTCATTTGGGCTGTGATGAAGAACAAGAAGCTCCGAAATTCTGGTAACTACTCTTACTTCTTCCTACCCAGCAGGCAGCCACTGGTAACTCCTAGGATGTTAGTTTGAATGCCCGGAATAGGGAATCCGTGGACTGGCCCTCACACTGAATGTCCCTGCTCCCCAATTCCCTGGGAGCCCGGGCAATGATGTTATGCATGGATCCCATAAACTTAGAGCTTCTCCAGGCTGAGAGAGCGCAGAGATTTAGCTTTGGGCGGCCAAGTGCAAAGCCCGGGTTCTTTTGGTGTGTGGCAGATCGCCTAGCCCTGCCCAGTCTGGAACCTGGTACAGAGGAAGGTGGTACTTGAACCGAGAGTGCGGCAGCTACCTAGGTACAGCACGGTGGAGCCTGACGCTACAGAGGTTGCCGGCCGAGGCAGCGCGGGAGGAATGGACCCAGAGGGAGCAGTGGGGCTGCGACCCGCTCCAGTAAAATTAAGTTATAGGCGGCTACAGTGGCGCTTACCCGAGGTAGCACACAGTGGAGAGAGGCGAGAGGCAGGCTGGGCGCAGCAGGCTGTGGCAGTGAAGGCAGCGGCAGCTGAGATCCAGAAGCCCATAAGCAAGAGGTGGCAGTGAGGGGCAGAGGTGAGGTACTGGAGCTTGGCGTCTTCGGGGTGGGGTGCTGAATAGAAGACAGGATTGCGGGAGGGCTGGAGGAGTGCTCAGAGGGGGAGAGAACGGTGCTGAGAATGTCTGCAAAGGGAGGGGAATCTGGGACGGGGTGGAGCGGATGAGCGAGACTCCCCTAGCTGCCAGCCAGTGCTCAGGGAAGGAGCCAGCAGTGAGTTGGCCTGCGGAGAGGCGTGGGAGGATGTTGAGCGATGCGACCTGGGCAGGGAGTGGGAGCAGCGGACTTGAGAAATGGCGAACCCACTTTGTATTTTGGGTGGGAGAGGGCTCAGGAGGGAAGGAGGTAGGGCAAATGGGGCCCAAATTCCACGCTCAGGCCACGGAAAGGAAGGGACAGCGTTCGCGGTCTCAGGCCAAGTTCTCTGTGGAGCCCGAGGGACCAAGAGGGAGAGGGGTCGGGGACTGAGAGGTTCGGGTACCCACTGGACACCAGAGGTCCTAGCGCGGGGGAGGAGGCGGCCAGTCTCGGGGGGATTATTTTGATTGGACCAGGAATCACAAACATCACACAAGTTTCAAAATGCAGTAAAGGTCACGCGTTCTTAAACGTTTTCTTCTAAACTTTGGCTGATGTGTTTTGTTTATCCTTGGTCCTCTGGGGACATTAGCCGCACACTAGGACCTCACTTTCACATCACTAGTTTGGTCTCAAGGGGCAGAACCATGCAGCTTCAGAGCCACCTGAGAAGCCCATTTTCTTTTCTTTAATTTTCTTCTTTGCTTTACTTTTCTCCTTCCTTTCATTCTATAATTCAAGTAAAGGTTTTTATGGCTGCTGTGGCTGTTTTTAAGGCGTTGCCCTCTCTGTTTTCTGCTTTTCTTCACCGAATTCTTTGAGGGAAACCCTAGAAAGATCCTCTTGAATAGAAAGCACTGAGGTTGCGCGCCCTAGCAGGGTGAAGAGGCAGAAGAGTCATTCCTTTGCTCTCTTATTTTTATTTATTTATTTATTTTTATTTTTATTTTTATTGGTACGTGCCCCTAGCGGGAACCGAACCCTGGACTCTCTGGTCCGCAGGCCAACACTCCAACCGCTGAGTCAAACTGGCCAGGGCTCCTTTGCTCTTTTAAAAAGGGCTCATTTTCTTCCAGTCCCAGATGAAGTGCAATCTTTTGCCAAACCAGTGCTAATTAGCAATGAGGCGCTTCCAAAGAAAGAGGGCTCTGCGCATGCATTTGACTTCTACTTTTTTTTTTTTAAGTTTTATGAAAACGTTCCTACCGCTGCCCTACAAAACTGGAGTGGGAGCAGACCCCCGCCCCCTTCACTTTCCTGTTTAGTAGTTCCAGAATACTCTGTGCCAGGGGCCCGACCCAGGTGCAGGACTGTGAATGCGCGGGTACAGCTCAGAACCTGGACCTGCATCAAGCATGCATTTCTGCTAATCCTTGCAGGATTTTCCAGATTAAAAAAAAATAAAAAATCGCTGTTCACTATTTGTTTGGTCGCAGACTAAATTTTACAGGGTTCCTCTCTTTCCCTCAGTTTTTATTCTTGGGTTTCCTCGGAAATGGTGCATTTTACTAGGCTGGGTCTTATATTCTTGTCTAATTCCACTTGGAAAGACTGTTTAAGAAAACAATAGCTCTCTATAGACTTGTTTGCGTTATAAATGCAATGCCAGAGGTTTAATTTGGGGGGATGCAGGGTATGGAGGCTTCCCGACATTCCTCCAATATACCTCCTTCGCCCTACCTCCATCCTGCTCCCTACAACTGCTTCATTTAGCTCACCTCTACAGCCCTCTCTCCTCTCCCCCACCCCACCCAGGAAAAAAGGTTTGCATTTTGTTTTTGTCTGAAATGGTGGCAGCATGACCCTGTGTGAGTGTGAAGGACTCTTCAAGGGGCCTTTGTACTTACTGTTTTCTGAAGAAATAATGTGGACAAAGGACAAGTCTCCCAAACCTGGCTGTACATCAGAATTACCTGGCATATGTTTGTAAATAAAAATAAAAACACAACTTTATTTCTTTTAAATAATTCTAAATTGTCAAGACTCCAGTTGGCCTTTTTCTCCAGCTTACATTTGTAGTTTTTCATACTTAACCATTTATTTTTCTCTGTCTTTCCCCTCTTCTCCCCCCAATGTTTATCAGGCAACATCTTTGTGGTTAGCCTCTCCATGGCTGATATGCTGGTGGCCATCTGACCCTACCTTCTGATGCTGCATGCTTTGGCCATTGGAAGCTGGGATCTGAGCCAGTTCCAGTGCCAGATGGTCAGGTTTATCACAGGGCTGAGTATGGTTGGTTCTATCTTCAATATTGTGGCAATTACCATCAATCATTACTGCTACATCTGTCACAGCCTCCAGTATAAGGGGATCTTCAGCATGCCCAATACCTGCATTTATCTGGTTTTACCTGGATCATGACCATCCTGGCTGTCCTGCCCAACATGTATATTGGCACCATCAAGCATGATCCTCGGACCTACACCTGCATCTTCAACTATCTGAACAACCCTGTCTTTGCTGTGACCATCGTCTGTATCCATTTTGTCCTCCCTCTGCTCATAGTGGGATTTTGCTATGTGAGGATCTGGATAAAAGTGCTGGTGGCCCACAACTCTGCTTGGCAAAATCCTGACTACCAACTTTGTGCTGAGATTCACAATTTTCTAGCCATGTTCATGATCTTCCTTCTCTTTGCAGTGTGCTGCTGCCCTATCAACCTGCGTACTGTCTTGGTGTCTGTCAATCCACAAGAGATGGTAGGTAAGATCCCTAACTGGCTTTATCTTGCAGCCCACTTCATAGTGTACTTCAATAGCTCCCTCAACGCTGTGATCTATGGGCTCCTCAATGATAATTTCCGAAGAGAATACTGACCATCTTTCATGTTATTCAGCACTCTATTCTATTCCTCTCTGGCATTATCACTGATGTGTGTGAGATGTGGGAGGCCTGGGCCCATACTCATGCCTGTGCCGGTGACCAAGCTCCAGAACAAGCCCACGAACAAGACTGTGCCCATGCCTGTCCTGCTCTGGAGGAAATGCCAATAAACATCTGGAATATTACATTACCTGATAATGCCACAGCTGGCCAACCTGAGCATGCTTCTGGTCACCCCGAGCCTGCCACTGTCTAAGTCTGCCTCTGTCCATACTGTGTCCCTTTCAAGCCTGCCTCCAGCCACCCCAAGACTGTCACTGGCCACCACATTCCTGCTGGCAGTCCCTCCAAGAGTGCCTTCAGCCCTGTCACCAGCAGCCCTAAACCAACCACTGGCCACATCAAGCCTGATAACAGCCACCCTGAGCCCACCACTGCAGACTATCCTGAGCCTGCCATCACTGGTTACCCTGAGCCCTCTACTGCTGGCCATTCTGAGCTCACTGCATCCTACCACCCTGAGACCACTGCTACCAGAAACCTTGAGTGTGATGCCACTGACTCCCTGAGCCTTCCTACAGACCTGCCACTGGGCCCCCGGAGCCTGCTGCTAATCTGCTGAAGCCTGCTGCTGCCACTGACCCTCTTAACTCCACTGTGGTCACCAATGACAGCAATATTTACCATGAGGTTGTGGTTATTGATGCTGAAGTTGATACTGATGAAATGGCCATGTGAAAAATGCTCTTAGGGGAGTGGCCAAACAGTGGTCCACTTTCAAGTTTGTCTAGCATATGTAATTCAAAGTTAGATACCTCACTGCATTTAAACACAGAAAGACATGCAGACACTGATTCACAGCTATGGTGTAAGTTAATTCCATTATTTAGGCATACTCCCTTACATCACGTACTCTAAAAAGTGTGTGTGTGTGTGTGTGTGTGTGTGTTTGCTATTTTAGAGACCAAATTGCCCTGAAGTTTAACTTCTGAACATATCTTTCCTCCTACTGCTGACCTTGAGCCCACAGTGATCCTTGAAATTTTAGACTGATTTTTTCCACTCCTCTGTCTCCCTTTCTCCCTTTCCCTCATTTCTACTTCCCTGTTGCTGCTTTCTTCTCCCATTCCCCCAGGGAGGGAGGGGGGAGGAGTACATGTGAAATGGTGAAGGTGTGCCCTATGAAGACTTCTGTAAAGTTATGTGACCACAGAGCTTTATGTTCCTAAGTGTGTAACTCTATATTGTACATTTAATGGCAGTCATAAAGGCAGTTGTGATAAAGTACAAGTAGTTAAAACAGTTTTGTTTCTAAATTCCAGAAATAAAATGCGACCCATATTTTAAAAAATAATTTGATAAGCTCTTATTAAAATACATTTTTATGCCTATGAGATCAAATGGCAAAATGACAGATATGGTCATACTGAATTGTTTTTATTTTGTAAAAATGCAAACATCAGGGCTGATTTTTATAGTCAAACATGAATAAAAAGGATGCGATGATTTTACCTTGATTGTAGTCACTTACCTTTTTTTATATCTGCCAGGATTTGTTTTTCTTAATTTAGATCCAGAGAAACAAATCCATTCATAAACTGGTTTCTTCTAAAACTTAAACTTATGGTTGCTAGGATCAATTATAGTTATGTTTTTATTTATTTATTTATTTAATTAATTTATTTTTGTTACAGATGTTTCTTCTTTTCCCCCCACTGATACCCCCCAACTCCGCCCTGTCCCCAGCTTTGTTGTCCAGGTCCATTGTTCATGCATACATGCATATAAGTTCTGTGATTTATCTCTCCCCCACCCAGCCCCTCTTCTGGGGATTCTCTGTCAGTACACTACTTCCACGTCTCTGGAACTACCTTGTTTCTCAGACTGTTATGTTCATTATATTCCACAAATAAGTGAGATCATGTGATATTTGTCTTTCTCTGCTTGGCTTGTTTCACTTAGGATAATACTCTCCAGATCCCTCCATGTCCTCTCAAAGGATAACAGATCTTTGTTACAGCTGCATAGTACTCCATTGTGTATATGTACCACAGCTTTGTTATCCATTCGTCTACTGATGGACATTTGGGCTGTTTCCAGATCTTACCTATTGTAAATAGTGCTGCTATGAACATGGGGGTACATATATTCTTTCTGATTGGTGTTTCAGGCTTCTTAGGGTATATTCCTAGAAGTGGGATCACTGGGTCAAATGGAAGTTCAATTTTTAGTTTTTTGAGGTAACATCATATTGTTTTCCACAGTGGATGCACCAGTCTGCATTCCTACCAGCAGTGTACTAGAGTCCCCTTTTCTCCACACCCTCGCCAACACTTGTTTGATGATTCGTTGATGGCTGCTATTCTGACAGGTGTGAGGTGATGCCTCATAGTTGTTTTAATTTGCATCTCTCTGATGATTACTGATGTTGAGCATTTCTTCATATGTTTCTTGCCCATTTGTATGTCCTTTTTGGAGAAGTGTCTATTTAGGTCTTCTGCTCATTTTTTAGCTGGGTTCTTTGTCTTCCTATTGTTGGGTTGTATGAGCACTCTATATATTTTGGAAATTAACCCATTATCTGATGCATCATTGGCGATTATGGTCTCCCACATAGTGGGATCCCTTTCTGTTTTGATGGTTGTTTCTTTTGCTGTGCAGAAGCTTTTTAGTTTGATGTAGTCCCATGTGTTCATTTTTCCTTTGTTTCTGTTGCCTGAGGTGTTGTATCAGTGAAAATTCTGCTGCGTATGATATCTGAAATTTTGTTGCCTACATTTTCTTTTAGGATTTTTATGGATTCACGAGTTACATTTAAGTATTTTATCCATTTTGAATTTATTCTTGTGTATGGTGTAAGCTGGTGTTCTAGCTTCATTCTTGTGCATGTAGCTGTCCAATTGTCCCAACACCATTTATTAAAGAGGCTGTCTTTACTCCACTGTATGCTCTTGCCACTTTTGTCAAATATTAATTGAGCATATTGTCTTGGGTTCATTTCTGGGTTCTCTATTTTGTTCCATTGATCTATCTGCCAGTTCTTGTGCCAGTACCAGGCTGTTTTGAGTACAGTGGCTTTGTAGTAAACCCTGAAATCTGGTAATGTGATCCCTCCCACTTTGTTCTTCTTTTATCAAGATTGCTGTAGCTATTCTGAGTCTTTTGGCATTTTTACACAATCAGTTTTTATATTTTTCTTTTTCATTCAAAAGGGAATTTGAGGTAATAACTAGTAGCCAGAAGTCAATGGTGTTCTTCCATTTAGGTTGTAAATGAGTGTTTCTCTAAAAGCCTTTCCCTCCTGCCTCATCCCTAGCTGGGGTGAGAGGTGAAGAGAAAAAGATGCCAATGCCAGCCAATACCACCACTCTTGGTTGATGTTCATTGAAAAATGTTAAGTAGTAGATGTCTTGCATCAGCACACTTGACAGCCCACAAAATTATTTTTACCCAGGGCTCAAGAAAAAGTTATTTTTTAATAAAAGTGTTATTTTTTTATTCAAATTGACACTTATAAAATGTTTACTGTACCAAAGCTTATAGGGATAAAAGGAAAGGTATTATACTGCCTTAATCTGATTTTGTATTTGCAGTAACAAATAAAAATGTTTTTGTGGCTTTGATGTACAATTAGTTGATAAATTCACTTCCTCCACCAGACTCACCTGTCGGGAGGGTTCAGAGGTGGGTGGAAAAGCATTGACCTTGGGGGATCAGAAGATTTATATGCAAGTTCCATCCCTGCTACCAGCTTGAAACACCCAAGGCTAGTAACATGGCCCCTCTCATCTCAGTTTCTTTACTTAGCAAAATTGTGGTGAGTTCAGGGTGGTGGAGGTGGTGGTGGAAGGCTCACTGGGTTTAGTGTTTTCCCACTAGTGCACTGACAATGGATGACCTGACCTGTCCGCTCTTGGACTTCCAGATCTTGCCTTCCATTGATTCTGAAAATAGATCTCCCTTCATCTTCATGGAAGAACTGAAGCTGAACTCAAATGTCACTACCCAGAGGCTGCTGGGACTAAATAATAGAGCTTATGAACCAATGGAGAGAGGCACAGAAACTGGAGGCAGGAGAACAGGTAGATTCCTCTTCAGCTGGAAGATGATACAAGAGCCCAGCCACTGGGCAAGGCTGCTGACTTCAGGAATGCAGTTACAAAAGAATATTTTATGACAAGGGAATACCCAAAATGAACAGCTGCATAAAAATAAAACTGGATACAAAATAATGTGCAGTAAGGTATCAATTTTGTTAAGAAAATACATACACTTAAAATATGCACATATACATAGATACAGAGATAGGCATGTACATATAGTTTTTTTTTACCCAGGTTTGGCTAGACTTAATATAAACTGAGGTAACCTTAATTTTCATGACCCAATTACAGTGGTTCTAGCCCCACTAGAATGACAACTACACCTTGGCTGATCCCCTATGCAAATCTCTCTGTACCGCAGGCCGACACTCTAACTGCTGAGCCAAACCGGCCAGGCCTATGCAAATCTCTTTTCAATATTTTGCTGCAACAAACATCCTTGTGCATTTGTATTTTTGTATTGTTGGAAGTTCATCTTCATTGATAGATTCTTAGGGTTGGGATATCTGGGTTGAAAGCTTATATTAGGCATTGTCAATTTCCCTCTGGAAAATATATACTGGTTGGCATTCTTAGCAGCAGTGCATTAGCATGTTTGTTTCCTCTGAGATTCGTCAACAAATTCTATTGTGACACTTTTATAATTTTTGCCTGTCTATTAAGTGAGAAATGGTATTCCAATGTAGTTTTAATCAGAAGTTCTCTAATTACATACTGAGTTTGAATAATTTTCACATGCTTAAGGAACATTTTTTATATCTTCATTTCAATGATTGTCTGTTTACAAAAAATTCCTCACTTTTATATTTTGTGTTCTAGCCCCTCAAATTTTTATTTATTTTAATTTAATTAATTAATTTTCGTTGCAGATGTTTCTCCTTTTTCTCTCATAGATACCCTCTTCCCAATCCCACCCCACCTCACAGCATTGTTATATATGTCCATTGGTTGTGCATATATGTGTATAAAGTCTTTGGTTTCAATCTTCCCTCCCCTCAATCACCCTCCTCTGACGTATGTCAGTCTGAACCCAACTTCTCTCGATGACTCTGGGTCTATTTTGCTCATCAGCTTATATTGAACATTAGATTCCACAAATAAGTGAGATCATATGGTATTTGACTTTTTCTGATTGGTTTATCTCACTTAGCATAATACTCTCCCGGTCCTTCCATGTCTTCTCAAAGGATAAGAAATCTTTCTTTCTTACAGCTGCATAGTGCTCCATTGTGTATATGTACCACAGCTTTTTTACCCACTCGTCTATCAATGGACATTTGGGCTGTTTCCAGATCTTAGCTATTGTAAATGCTGCTGCTATAAAAATGGGGGTACATATATTCTTTCTAATGGGTGTTTCAGGCTTCTTAGGATATATTCCTAGAAGTAGGATCACTGGGTCAAATGGCAGTTCTATTTGTAATTTTTTTAGGAAATACCATATTGTTTTCCATAGTGGCAGCACCAGTCTGCATTCCCACCAGCAGCATACTAGAGTCCCTTTTTTTCCACATCCTTGCCAGCACTAGTTGTTCGATGATTTGTTGATGACGGCCATTCAGACAGGTGTGAGGTGATACCTCATAGTTGTTTTAATTTGCATCTCTCTGATGATTAGTAATGTTGAACCTTTCT